AAAACGGCCATTGGATTTTGACCAAAACCACGCGGTCTACATTGCAGGCCTTTCCACAAATATCCGGATATTTTTTGGGATATTTACAAGTTTCTGAGATATTAAGAAGGTATTACGAAAATTTAAGGATATTATAGAAATATTCATAGCTTTTTTTTGGCTAAGCCATGTGTTTCCCTCGCTGTTCTCTTGAGGCAATTCTCAGTTCTATGCCAGAAACAATCCAGCTCAGCGATTTTCCACTCGAAAAATGTATTCCATTTCACTAAAAGCGATAAAGCAGAAATTTTCCAAAATGGCGAAGGCTGGTAACATCCAGGTGCCTGAATCTTCTTTCCTCAACTCCTACTACTGCAAGAAAAGTTTCAAAGTTTCGGCCCAAGTGATTCAAAATCGGTGTATTTTTACGAAAACAAAATAAGAGATATTTAGAAAACTTTGTGAAATTTAGAAGATTTTTAGAGAATTTCCGAAAAGATAGATATTTGTGGAAAGGCCTGCTACATTGCTAACGCGTCAGACGGAAACCAAGACGCTGGTGCAGTCTCTCTTCCGGCAATTTTGCAGGTACTTGTTTTGCCAAAGCACAATAGTTTTACTTCTCTGTCAAGCTGTTCTTCCTGGCGCTTCCTTTTGTCTGTCTGCCTCGCAGCGGCCGGAACAGGACTAAAATATGGAATCCTCCCATAGAAGAACGATTCTTTTTCGCATTGTATTAGTTCGTATAGAGTAATGTAGGCCACGTTATATAACGAAAATTAAAATGGTTTCAGCATTTTACTTATCTGCAGTGAAACTCTGATACAAACACAAATAGTTTCAGTGCCCGGGGGGAGTTTGATTGTTTGTTCTCTCAATATAAATCTTTTCTCGGTATTGAACTATTTTCGAGTCTCGCCGAGTAAAGAAAATCTGAAGGCTTATTTTGAGACTTTCTAACTTCTCCTTGACAATGATTTCGCAACAGAGAACAAAGTGAAATAGGTTTGAATTGAAATCACGGCATGTTTCCAGTAAAACTAGTAATTCAGCTGGTAGCATAATACTGGTATCGAACACAGAGGAATCGTTTGATTACTTTCTTAGCAAACCTTATAGCCGCGCAGGTAACTCTCCCTACTGT